CTGCCTCGGTAAATTAATTTAAGAGTATGTCTGACAATTATATGCAAAATTTGTAGATTAAAATGGTTATCTTACCATAAAATTTTATCAGTTCAGCACCAATCTAACGCGCATGACTGTAACGTTTTTACTACTGTATTTGCCTTTTCGTGAGCTTTAGGTATTGATATTTTTTAGTACTATAAAGACGATTTGCGCAAGTGTTTAGCATACAAATTCAGAGACCAATTGCTTTCCTAAAAAAATTAAGAAACAAATGCGGAAGAAAACCCCAGATTGCAATAATTGCTATATTTAAATGCTATTTTTATATGTATTAGTTTATCGGGTGGACACGGAAAAATTTAAATTAAGATTTCTCTAAAACTACAAATGCTTTTTAATTCTTTTATTTTTTTAATTAAACGTCACTTTCTTATCTTTAATTGTGTTGATAAACTTTTGTTTACTAATGAATGATTTGCAAAATGTTTCGGAAATAAATTAAGGTGCGCAAAAAAATTGTGAATTTTTTTTGCAAAAATTCATTAATTTTATTTCGCTAATTGCTAAACGTATAAATGTTCCAAAATCTACAGTCATAGATGTTATAAATAAGCTCTAGATTACTCAGAGCTTTAAAAAGAAAACCTTGAAGTGGAAAAAGAAAACTTTCCATAAATCTAAAAAGGTAAAGTCGAATCTCAGTTCAATAGCAAGAAATCCAAACGAGTCATAGCAAGATCTAGCAAGAAAATTCAAGACTTTGCATTCTTATATCAAAAAAGTACTTAAAAATGCTCGAATTACAGCAATTTATAAGAAAAATACACCTATGCTCGAAATGCTCGAATTACAGCAATTTATAAGAAAAATACACCTAAGAAAAGCCTAAATGGTGAAATTAAAGGAATTCAACGCGCAAAGAATTTGGCAAAAATAATTGCGCATAATTGAAGATGACAAAACATATTGCAAAGCGAATTTTTCACAACTTTATGGTCAACAATTTTACTATGAGAACAAAAATAAACTTGTTGATGATCAATTTAAATATATTCAACGAGAAAAATTTGCATCCAAGTTCCTTGTGTGGCAAATGATTTGTAATAATGTGGTATGCACATTATTACAAATATGCAGTCCTAATGTTTTGTCACTAAGAAGATCTTGACTGCGAACCTCTACATCAAAGAATGCCTTTAAAAAAGACTTTTACAATTTATGAAAAAACACTTATACCGATATCTCTTTTGGCCAGATTTTGCTGCTTCTCACTATTCTGAACAAGTTCTACAATGGTGCAAAGATAGTAATGTGAAAATTATTTCTAAAGATGCGAATCCTCCAATTCGTTCTGAAGAACGCAAGGTTGAAGATTTTGGGCAATAGTTTAGGAGTTCTTCGTAAGACAGGTGGAGTAACAAAAAATAAAAGGACTTCCAAAAAAAGTGAATCAGTGCCACCAATAAGGCGAAAAAAAAGTCTGCAAAATGATGCATTAACCGACTATAAAACTCGATCTCTTGCCTAACAGCCCATAAAGCCCAATAAAGTAAAGTTGAAACCCTTTTTTTTTTTTATTAAATGTGTAGACACATTTAATAAAAAAAATTAAAATAAAAAGCATTTATGGTTTTAGAAAATTTTAAGTTAAACGGATTTTTCCGTGTCCACCTAATATGTTGAAATAATGTTGTAAAATAATCTAAATTGAAAAAATCCATCTTTAATTTTAGACATGACTGTTTAATATGCTGAATTTGTACTCGCATTATCACTGTGACACTTAGTAAGCTGCTACTGATGTTCAACTTTATTTTCCAGGAATTCCAGATCAGTTCTTTTTTGTTTGTTATTTTTGATCCAAACTGTCTTATATTTTGGATGAGCAATTAAAATTGCACTCATGATGTACTGATTGAATTTTCTATCTATGGCAGTTTCCATACTTACCACCATTAGCTTGCAGCAAAGGATTAAATTGTTACAAAGAAGAAACTTTTTCTTTTAAAGTTATTGTAGCTCGCAAAAAGGTAAATAAAAAAAAAAAAAAAGAGTTATCCATGTAGATAATTTTACATTGTAGGGTATTTAACGCATGAGTAACGCACAAAGTTTTTTCAAGAATTCAGCTCGCTTATTGTAAAAGTTGGTTGCGTATCTTGTGTGTTCAATATATATATATATATATATATATATATATATATATATATATATATATATATATATATATATATATATATATATATATATATATATATATATATATATATATATATATATATATATATATATATTGAACACACAATATATAAATATATATTGAACACACAATTGTGTATCTTGTGTGTTCAATATATATATATATATATAAATATATATATATATATATATATATATTTATATATATATATATTATATATATATATATATATATATATATTTATATATATATATATATATTGAACACACAAGATACACAATTGTGTGTTCAATATATATTTATATATATATATATATATATATATATATATATATATATTATATATATATATATATATATATATATATATATATATATATATATATATATATTGAACACACAATATATAAATATATATTGAACACACAATTGTGTATCTTGTGTGTTCAATATATATATATATAAATATATATATATATATATATATATATATATATATATATATATATATATATATATATATATAATATATATATATATATATATATATATATATATATATATATATATATATATATACACTCGTAGACAAATTTGTGGACACGCACATGGATTTATTAAAAATAAATGATTAAGCAAAAAAATACTATTTATTGCACTCAAAAAATTTATAAAATAAAATTCAAGGAAAAGAATTGCCATTTTCTATGAAATTTATCAAATAGCACAAAACTTTATGATCAGATCAGCAAATAGCACCATATTAAAAATATTCATATGTGAATATGTGTATATATATATATTGTGAGTATCATTTTTTTTAGCACTGACAAGCTTAATAATGTGTGGGATTTCCCTTTGAAGCAATAACTGCTTGGCATCTTCTTGGCATTGGAATCCACAAGTCTTTTTAAACCTTCAGGAGTTATTAGATGGTACCAAGAATTAATTATTGCCTCAATAAGTTTCTGCTTATTACTGGGATGTTTGGCTCCAACCATGCGCTTCAGGCTTGACCATAGATTCTCGATTGAGTTCAAATCGGGGATATTTCCAGACCATGGCAAAACCTCAATAATATGAGTTTCAAACCATTTTATATTTGTTTGAGCTGTATGGCATGGTGCTCCATCTAGCTGGAGATAAAATCAATCCCATTGCAAAAAAAGTTTGCGAGCAGATGGAAGCAATGAAGGTTTAACAATGTCCTTGATATATTTTGAAGCGTTTGCTTTTCCATTAACGACTTTAAATTGTCCAACTCCATTATATGCTGTTCATACATAATAATTCATTATATGATAATCATATCATGACTCCCATGGGATGTTGTTATCAATGTTATGGGGTGTTGTTATCATTTTGGTATCAAGCACTCAGGATGATAAGCTTCACCTGCTCTTTGGCAAACATAACCAGTGCCGTCATTGCCAAAAATCGAGATTCGTGTCTCATCACTCCAGATGACTTTCTTCCACTGATCAACTGTCCATGTAGCATAAACTTTAGCCCATTCCACTCTCGTTTTTTTCTGAATGGTATTGAGCAGTGGTTTTTTCCTTGGAATTCGAGCTTTCAAACCTGCATCCACCAAAAGCCGACGAACACTTATGTCACTAATAGATATTTGTGCAACTTTAAGAGAGCTGTTAATTTCCTTTGCAGTTATTCTTCTATTTTGTAGTGCTTGCCTTGATATCATTCTTTCAGTTGTAGGTGTTGGTACTTTTTTTCTTCCCTTTCCATGTTTGTTTTCAATGCTGCAGTCAAATGCAGTCTCTTTGAAATTTCAATTTCAAATTTGAATTCAAATTTGAAATTTGAATTTTCAAATGCAGTCTCTTTGAAACGCTCATACAATTTTTGTACCCCAGAGGCAGTCACACCACTTTTGTCTGCAATTGCTCTATAACTATAGCCCTCTTTTCGCAGTGTGATTGCAGTTGCTCTTTTTTTAGGTAACCAATCAGACCTTTTAACATTTTTCATTGTTGAAATCGATTACAAATGTGAGTATTGTTGTCTTAATTGCTTATATGTTAAAGATTTCATATTAAAAAGGTATATCGGGTGGACACGGAAAAATCCGGTCATCTTAAAATTGAGATTTCTCCAAAACCACAAATGCTTTTTATTTAATTTTTTTTTTTTTTACCTTACTTCCTTATCTTAAATGGTGTTGATAAATTTTTGTTTACAAATTAATGATTTGCAAAATGTTTTGGAAACAAGTTGAGGTGCGTAAAAAAGTTGTGAATTTTTTTTGCAAAAATCCATCAACTTCCTATCGCTTGATTGCTAAACGCACAAATGTCCCAAAATCTACAGTCATAGATATTATAAACGAGTTCAAGACTACTCAAAGCTTCAAAAGAAAACTTAGAAGTGGAAGAAAAAAAACTTTCCATAAATCCAAAAAGGTAAAGTCGATTTTACGCAAGAAATCCAAATCAGTCACGGCGAGATCTAGCAAGAAAATTTAAGACTTCTCGTTCTTATATCAAAAAAGTACTTAAAAATGCTGGAATTAAAGCATTTCATAAAAAAAATATACCTAAGAGAAGCTTAAATTGTGAGTTCAAAGGAATTCGACTCGCAAAGAAGTTGGTTAAAATAATGGTGGATAAAAATATGTGCATAATTGAAGACGACGAAACGTATTGCAAGGCGGATTTTTACGTTATATTTTATATTTTATAGTTATATTTTGTCGGTAAGTTTAATTAAATGCTTAATTGATATAATCTTTAATATTAATAAATATGACATAAATAACTTTTTTAACATTCTCAAAAGCAACATGTATCGGTCTTGGCTTATAAATAAGATTTATAACTGTTGTCTTACGAAAAAAACTATTTCTACTAATCAATCTGAATCCCTAAACCAAAAATTCATGAAAAACTAATCTCTAATAAATTCGAGCCTAAAGTTAAGGAAAGTTTGTACATTAAATCGAAAAACTCAGAAGGTAGAAAAATATATCTTATTAAGGGTATATTGTGATATGTTATACTCTAACGTAGAAATTTCTACCTTTTTTGTAGTGTGTGGTGCTAACAGTTGGTTCTTTTGTGGTTTGTTCTTAACTGCATCTTCGTTGTAATGGTTATGATAACTTTTTTTTTTTAGGACATTGCATACTTGATACTGCAATTGGTAATGTATCAAAATAATCACTGTCTGATGAACTTATTTCTATTGCACTTTAAACATATTCATGATTTGAATCTAGATCAAAGTCGTTTCCTCCATCAGATTAATATTTTTCTAGTTTTCCTTAAAGGATGTGGCAGGGACATTGGGTAAAGATAGGGTGCTAGAGGATGAGTAAAAAGCATTTGTGATATATTCTAAGCATATAATGCTATCTAAGAAATCTTTATTTTAAAATAATATTATAGTTTATTTATAAATTTAAAACAGTTTTTATAGCTGTATTACCTATGCAGTCATGTGACTACTTTGTTGACTAACTATGGTGATCTGAGGTATGTCAAATATGCTATTAAAGTTGTGATCCCACCCCTAAGACCTATGAGTATTAAAAGAACATATATTTAACAAAAGTCACTAAATGGTTTTATTTAAACTTTAATAATAAACGCCGAATGCTATTTTCAAAAAAAAAAAACTAGTCAAAACAATTACTTTGGGTATCCTGGTGTCGAAGAATTAAAGCCCTAAAAAATATTATAAAATTTCATAGATGCGGAGCACGATAAGCAAGAAAAATTAACACTTGTGTGACAAAAGTGTTCGTTCAAAAAAATTATGTTTCTATAAGTGTAATTGTTGCTGGGTTTTAGATTAAAAATTTTTTTTAAAGATTGGGGTGGAATAAAATGTGTTTCTACTTAAAACAAAACATTACATTTTTAAACGTGTATATTTAAAGTTCTCATTTCAATAGAATAAGATTTCACAAAATGGAAAATAATTAGCAAAGTTATTTATGCAAATTGCTCGATTCTTTTTATTTTATTTATCCATTTATTTAACCATAAAATCAAAAATTAAAAATTTAATTATAATTAACAAAGTTAGGTTGGCTGTCACTCATATAGTTAAAAACGAGTCAATGGACTGACACCTTAATAAAATAAACAAAAAAAATAAAAAAAATATTAAAACAAGGAAATATTAAAGAAAGTAAACTACATTAATACAAGTAATAAAAAATGAAGTAATAGGAACAATAATATTTAAAAATTTGGAATCAGAACAAAAATAAAAGGAGTAAGGCTAAGAAAAATGAAAAAAAAAAGAAAGAATGAACGGATAAGATGAGTGAGAAAAAAATGTAAGAGAAAACAAAAATATTTATCACATAAGTTCAGAAGGATAGAGTGAGAGGAAAAAATTTTGCAGAAAAATATAAAAAAGCAAAATAAAGGCAAACTTAAATAAATAAAAAAGTATACATACACTACTACATACAATATTAAAGCCTATACTACGCCAGGGCCGCCGAGAGCTGTCACGCCGCCTGGGACAGCAATCTTGATTGGCGCCCTTATTTATCAAATTTTCCCCATATTATATATGAAGGCCCTTTTTTTTTTTTTTTAGGTACCTATATTTCATTTGGCGCCCCTTGGATATCTGCCACCCGGGACAAACTGTTCCGGTGTCCCCCTTCTCGGCGGCCTTGTCCTACGCATTACATAGATTAGTTAAACAAAAGTAATTATCAAGATATAGAAAAAGCAATAACAACTAAATTGACAGAGAAAAATGCAAAAAAATAAATTTTTTAAAAATCAACATTTTTTATATTTCTTACAGCTTTACTTTTTTATATCTCTTTCATTTTTTATATTTCTTACAGCGATAAAAGTAATGTAGTTTACTTTTTTCAGTACTTTTTAGACAATACTAGCATAAATTACAAAGCAGTGAATAAATTAGAAAATAGAGCTGTCTTATGCTTTTCTCATTGTGATAAGTTCGAGCATTGATTATATAACGTTGATTCCAAGTAATGTTCTCATTGAGATAAATACTTAAACATTTTGTGACGGAATCTCTTTTTATTTCAATTTTATCAATAAAGATAAGATAAAGATTCAGGGCAATAAATATTTAAGGCAAGTTTAAGGCTGAATTTTGTTTTCTCCTTTTTGAATGAGAAAGTTCTCTGCTTTAGTCTTAATTAAAATATCATGGTCAACCGTATTGAAGGCCTTCAGTAAGTTGATAAAGATATCTAATGTAAATTAAAATCTTTATCAACCTTTAGATAATTAATCTTTAAAGGCACTGAAAAAATTAAAAAGAACAGCTTTAATAGTTTCATCTGTCCACATAATTTATTTTTACAAATAGATTTTCAAATTCTTTAATTGACAAATCAGATAATAGCTCATCAAACCATACACACTCATTTAAGGGTAATAAGAATTCACTAAATAATGTTCTGGTGTTAGGAATCTTATTTGGTAGTTTAGTATCTATTTCAAAAAAGTTTATATGATAAAGCGTTTGGTTCAAATATACTACACCTCTCAGAGGTGTAGTATATTAACTTAAACGCAAAGAGGCCCTTTTTGCGTTTAAGTTGGCCAATTTTCACTTGAATTTGTCATTTTCTCATTTTAATTTGTCAATTTTCATTTTAATTTGTCGCGAATTTATTTTGGAAGGTGTTAGTTTTGTGTGCTAAATAAAAATGAAAATTGACAAATTAAAATGAAAAATAAAAAATTGAAGTGAAAATGAAACTTAAACGCAAAAAGCTGAGTATTATCAATTTTTGTTTTCCTCTAATTTTCTTCATTTTTTCTAAATGCGCTTAACGTTATTTTTAAATTGATACGTATTTCTGAGAAACAATTTTTTTTTAATTTTTAAAAATAGCCTTAAATAAATTTTCACAATTTTATTAATTTTTTTAATTTGCAGTTGTTTTTGTTTTCAAAAAACGTATATATAACTTCTAATCGATTTTGAGTGACTTTCAAACCCCTTTGCAGTGGTGTACAACTAGATCGTTTTCTTGTAATATAGCGAAGGGTGTCTAGTAGGGTGCATTCAAAAACAGAATTTTTTCAAAATTGTCTTGTAATAGCTCCTAATATATGTCATATAATAAATTATCACTGGATTTAAATAATTTTTGGAATAAAAAATTTTTTTAGAGGCGCCCCAAGTCAATTGAACATTTACAGGGTTCCTAATGTTTTTGAAAAAAAAGTTCTACAAAAGTAGGTCAACCTGGTACTCAAAAGAAGTGCAATTTTATAAAAAGTTTAAAAATAATATTTGTTTTATAATTTTTTAAAGCTTTTTATAAGTTATTTTTTTTAATATGTTTTTTTATATAACAATTATTATTTTTGAACTTTTTATAAAATTTCACTTCTTTTGAGTACCAGGTTGAAGAATTTTTTTCCAATAATATTAGGGGCTCTATAAATGTTCAAGGGACTTTTGGGCACTTCTAAAAATATTTTTTTTTCAAAATTTTTTGTTATTCTAGTGATATTTTATTATATCGCATATATTTAGAGCTATTACAAAACAATTTTTAAAAAATTCTGTTTTTCAATGCACCTTAATGTCTAGTACAGCCAGATTTATAAACAATGTTATTTACGATAAGACGTTTTGGCAGATTCGTAAAGAATAATGCTTTTGTAAAGATGGTTTAGCTTATTTGAAGAAAAAAAAGTTAAAATAATATATAGTATCAATTTTTGTTTACATGTATGTATATATATTATAATAATATTATATTTATGTATATATATATATAGTTATATAAATACTTAAATATAATTATACCTCGATTATTTACTTATACTATAAATTATATAAATATAAAATAAATAATATAAAGTATAAATGATTTGAGATCCTTAAATCATACTCTTAGTATAACATTAGCAAGTCATAGGTTATACCTCGTTGAAATATAACATTTGCCGACCCAACGGGCATTTGATGGTTTAAAATTGGTTTAGATCACGTTTAGATGGCATTTACGTTGATCTAAACGTTTAGGAACCTATTCTAAACGTGTTCTGAATATTTAATTTGCGTTGAAAAGCTAAATCAAACGATTTCCGTACGGAATAAATTAGTTTCGCACAAAATGTGTCGGACATTTTGAATCTTTCATTATGATAAAAAATTAGAATTTCTTATGAATCTTAAATTATGTAATAAATGGTTTAGAAAAGATAAAAGAAATTTGTTTTTAGTATTATACTGTGGCTAATGAGGCAGCTAAAAAGTCCTGTAAGTTCTTCGATAATGTTGTATAAGCGATTAAAAGTAATTTTAAGTACAGTAACTATGTATTTTGATAATTTTTTTAGTTATTGCTACTAATATAACAGTTTCAAAAAAGTAGCAGCAGTTTCAAAAATGTATCAGTTTCAGCATTTTTTTAAATTATTTCCTTAATTGTTTTTTCTGTTTGGTTTTTAACAACGCTATAGAACGTCTATAGTTAACTCTTAGCTTCCTAATTTTTCTACCACTTAAAATGCATTAATTTTTTCTAAAAGTTTTAGAGAAAAATTATGCCTTTTAAATGGTAGCTACTTTTTAAATAACTAAACAAAATTATAATTTTTGTTTACATTAAGACCTAACATCTATTTGTTTATGTCATAAACAGATCAGTATAACATCTTTCATAAATTATGATAGAATTATATTTTATATTGTTATATAGTTATATTGATCGTTATTGATCGTTATATTTATATAGTTATATTGATCGAATAGCAATGTTATAATATTTATACTTTTAGTGCAGACAGTGCCAATCAAAAATTGTGAGGTTCAAATATTTATATAATGGAGCTTTAGTTTTAGTGTAGGCTTTTAGTGTAAACTAAAAAATATTTTTAAAAATTTAAGTATTATTCATACTCCTATATGATAACCACTTAAGAGAAAATAAACTTACTTATGTCTGATATGATAGATTATTATATTGTATCATTTATTTTCTATTTAGTAGAAAAATTAACATGGCTTGAACAATAATATATATACTACATATAATATAGCTATATTATATAATTTTCTGAAATCCACGCAAATATATTTTTTATTGTTAATTAAGTTTTGCGTGTTTAATTTCATTTAATATTTTATATACAGTCCAGTCAGTTGCAACAACAATTAAAGCAGCAGGAAACAACCAAGTACACATGCAAGTGGTAAATTGATTTTTTGTGACGTTTTTACTCCTTTAAAGTTTAAATTTTCCTAAAATAATAATTAAGTTAATGGCTATTTCTGTAAAGATCATTCTGTAAATAAAAACTGCAGTGATTTTTAAAACTAATAGTTATTTTTTTAATAATCACAAGATAAACTGCAAATTCTGTTCTTTTAGATATGATTCTAATAGTTAAACATCTGTCAGATGTTTACCTTTTAAATCATTATCTAATTGCTCAGGCTTATGAAAAGTTATTTATAAAAATTCAACGCTTAAAAATAATGTAAGATTAAAGGTAATTCCTGTTATATTTGAAAGGTACGTTGATTATTGGTTCGAGTCTTTAAAGTTTAAATTAGTTAAAAGAGAATTCAAATTGTTCTGTTTTTATCTTATGCTCTATATCTAAAAGCTATTGTAATATTTATTGCATTATTTTTCATTTATTTTATTATGTTATGAAAGACCTACCAAGCTTGAAATTTTACTGGTTGAAATATATAGTATGTATATGTATATCATCCCTTGGAATTAGGAAAACTAAAGTTACCAAAAAAAGCTAAAAAACTAGACGACTAAACTTATTTAAAATATTTTTAACAAGTTTACTTACAAATTAATGTTATGTGTTGATGTACCTTCAACCAAATTAGTGTTAACATTTTAGCAAAATGTCATATTGCCAGGCTGTTTGGTTGGAAGAACCAAAAGCTTGATATTTTATTGAATTGTTATTTTAGTTTGTGATATTATAATTTTTATTTACAAAATGTTTAATAATTTATTTTTTAAATTTATTTGTCATTGCTTTGGATAAGATGTTTTGTTATTCCTTTTACAGACAATGAGGATTGCAAAAGTTTTAAATATCAGAAACTGAAGAAGGAATTGATAATTAGCAGAACAAAAAAGCGCAAAAGTACTGATTATACAACTCTTTTAAAGGTTTCATTTTAATTTGTTAATGTTTATATAGAAACTAATAATATATAAGCTGAAAATAATAACATAATTAATCCATAATTGTGCATTATTCTAATCTAAATTAATTTTTTTTCAATTTCTTGTTAATGCAATAACAGTAGAAATGATAATAGAAAAATTAAACTAAAAATTAAATAAATCGCTTGTTAAAGCAAATAATATTATATATATATATATATATATATATATATATATATATATATATATATATATATATATATATATATATATATATATATTATAAAATAATAGTTTTGTTTAGTTTGTTCTAATTTTTACGTAAAAAATAAAAAAGCAAGTTTTAATTAGTAAATGATTAACCATTTTTATGGTATAGTAAAATAGTTTTTATTTTTCAGTTGAGGAAGAATTTTATGTGGAATGTTAATGCAAAAGGTACAAATATTGACAGGTTAGCTAATTTGATGTTACAATAAACATGAAATAAAGTTTGTGAAGACCTTAGTTCCAAAAATACTTGCATGCATTATTCATGCATGCTATATTATAATATAGCATGGATGCATTCAAGTATAAAAAAAAAGTTACAAATGTTTAATTATACAAAAAGATTATTTATGTGGTACCGCAAGTATATTCAATTGATTATGTAAGTAAGTATGTATGTACTTTACATCTTTGAAGACTAATAATAATTGTAATGAACATATCTCAAACAATATACACTCGGATTTACATTTTAGTTAAACCATCACCACCTCCACAGCCACCTTATCTCAAGCATTCAATTGCATTCTAAGTTATCTTTATTCAAATCAAGTGTGACTACTATACCAAAAGACTGTAGAATGGGCCAATCAAGTAAGCTGTCTAAATTTATATCTTTTATATAGAACTCCTTTACTTTTAGATAAACCTGTTAATTTTATGACTTATGAACATATTTAGCAATGTAAGCCTTTTAGGATAGACTTTTTAAAATCAAATTTACAATGTTTTAGTAAATTTTTATTTACTAAAACATTTTTATTAACTTTGTATACATAATATATCTATATAGTTATTTACATTGTAGCTAACCCATCAGTACTTGCAAAGTCTTCTTTTCTGTAAGCCCGAAATTTGAGTTCTAAAATACCATTATCCACATAACTACTATATCAAAGCACTAACTAATGGATTGATCAAGTAATACTTAATTTTTACCTTGAGTTGCGTGTTAGTACGTATATGATTTTGATATATAAGTTTTAATTATTATGTTTGTTGTTTAGTTTTTAACTCTAAAGATTTTAAGAATTACAATTTTATTTTTACATGTTTATTTATATTGTAGTGAAACTTTAGGTATCTCCACAACTTTTCAATTAAATAGAAAGTTTCAATCAAACAGGATACTGAGTGTGCCTACTGCTCCTCAAGACAATGAATAATGGGAGTTATCAAACTTTATATATATATACATATAAATATATATATATATATATATATATATATATATATATATATATATATATATATATATATATATATATATATATATAAATAAAATGAGTAGCCTCCTCGAATGTAGTGGCCCCCTCGGGCCTTGGGGAGGTGAATAATTAATATATATATATATATATATATATATATATATATATATATATATATATATATATATATATATATATATATATATATATATATGTTGTACAGATATTGTTATAAAGTAATAGAATACTATATAATATTGTATTACTATGTTTAGAAAGGGCACTGCAGTTGTCTTGCAGTTATGCAACCCATAACTGCGATAACTACAAGTTTTTTTAATAAGGTTTTTATTATATAAATATTATATATTTTACAGAGTTTTAAAGAAAAGTTCTTTATCAATTATTACTATAGTTACTCAATGTACACTGTACTAATGTACAATCTTCTATAATCTATAAAACTATGGATTTATAAAGTTGTTAAATAAATGATTTATATGAATAGAATAAAGATGTTTATTGAGTTATTTTTATTATTTTTAGAAAAGAGATTGTATGACTTCGGTATCCGCAATACGGTATCGTGCATTGATTCCCATCTTAGAATAGCTCTCTTCCGTATAGGTGGAAATAGGAAAGGTTATGTCTTTTTTTCCAATTCTTAAAACGAAGAGGCTTAATCGGTTCAAACAAAGATGATGATGATCATTATGGAGCCGATCATAATGAGGAATACGATAATGCATATAATAATAAATAAAATGATTTTACTTGTATCTTAAACTTATTTAAATAAAAAATTATTTGTTTAATGTTTGATTTGTTTATGAGTATTTAGATACTGCGTTCAGCGTTTAACTTTTCTTTACGGTGCTTATTTAAAGCAGCTTAAATAAAAGAAGAGTTTGATACGTTTATCGGTATTTTTTATTTATTTAAGCTTCTTTAAATAAGCGCCGTAAAATAAAATTAACGTCGCGAAGTTTTAATCGAAAGATTTAGATGGAGTTTAAATAGCGTTTAAAACGAACCATTTAGATATGGTTTAAATGGAACATTCGATTGACCTGCGTTCTAAATCGAAACTAAATTAAATCTAAACATTTAGAACGAACATAAACTAAACGTTGATTAAATGTTCGAATGCCCGTTGGGGAATGTTAAAACCTATAACCTATTAAATATATATATATATATATATATATATATATATATATATATATATATATATATATATATATATATATATACATAGCCGGCGCAATAGGGGTGTGTGGGGGGATGTGACACCCCCCCTCCCCCATTAATGATTTTTAGTCGGCAAACTGGACCCTTAGTCGGCAAATCATATAAGTTATAACCTATAACCTATTAAATATATATATATATATATATATATATATATATATATATATATATATATATATATATATATATATATATATATATATATATATATATATATATACCAGGCCGGCGCGATATGGGGGTGTGATACCCCCCCCCCCCCCCCCTCATCAATGATTTTTAGTCGGCAAACTGGACCCTTAGTCGGCAAATCGGACCTTTTTAGACTAGTTAGTCGGCAAATGTCGACCCTTTCGATATAGGTTAGACAGTCGGCAAATGTCGTAATGACAGTCGGCAAATTTTGGAAAACGAGGACCCTTTTTTTTTTTTTTTTTAATTTTAGTCGGCAAAAGTTGTAATGGCACGCCCCCCCCCCCCCACGAGACACCTACTCGCGCCGGCCCTGTATATGTATATATATATATATATATATATATATATATATATATATATATATATATATATATATATATATATATATATATATGTATATATATATATATATATATATATATATATATATATATATATATATATATATATATATATATATATATATATATATATATATATATATATATATATGTATATATATATATATATATATATATATATATATATATATATATATATATATATTTAATAATATTCATTATTAAATAGTATAACCTTTAATAATATAACTTATAATATAGTATAACTTATGACAATATATTACATAATATCATAACATTTTATTTTATTTTAAAACTAAGTAAATATTTTTTGATGATCTCAAATCATTTATACTTTATATTATAAAACATTATAAATCTAAGTCTGAAGTTAAACTGAGTTTTATTGTAGGATGTTCAAACAAAAGTAGATCACTCTTACCAAATTGTCCAACCAGTCAGTTACATTACTGCCTAATATTTAAACTTGTAGTTCCATGGACACATAGTGCATTTAAAGTAATTACAACTCAGAAGCTAAGGTATTGATAGATCAAATTGTATAACCTTATCAAAATACTAAAATATATTTTTAAGTTTTTATAAGCATTTAATAATAATAATTCCATTTTATAGGATCAAGATCAAAAAAATGGTAAAGGACTGGATGAAGCTGAAAAGCTTAAGTAAAAAAAATAATTCTGCTGAAGTGAAAAAAAGAAATAAATTTATAGAAAATATGAAAAAGGTTTTCTGGAAAACCAACTCAACATGACTGAAAAAACAAGGCTGAGAAACCAAAATGACAAAGAGGAAGACATAGCTTTTCTTAAAGACCAGTTAGAGGAAAGGAAAGGAAGGTTAGGGGGATAGGATATGAGATTTCAGTACTCATTATAAAGAAATTATAAATTTAAATGTAGTTTAATAAATTAAACATTGTATCTGATACTGATTCTGAAAATTCATTAAGTTCTTTCAATACCAATAAAAGCAGTTCAACTGATAGTGAATTTGATATTGAGCCATATATTGAACCTACAAATTTTGTCAACCTACCCAAGGATATCTAGCACAGTACTGCTCACACAGCAGTTGGAGAGGGTTTAACTCCACATCAACACACAGCTATTCTTAGCAGTATTATCGTCAATTCTGGAGGATGCATTTTTGAGTTTGTTAAAAAGTTACTTAAAGAATTATTTATGAAAATAGCCCCTTAAACTTAAGTTGTAGAATTCATTACCATGTTATTAAATAGTTTATTTTTTAAATTGGTTGAGATTTAAATGTTTCACAAGCGAAGTAAAGTTTTCCTAAAAATGGAGCAAAAAATGACCCTTTTGCCCTCTGTGGAGACTTTTCTGATGTTCAAAAAAAATTTTGTAAAAAATTTCAAGTACTAATTTGGGGTTAGGACAAATCATAAGCTAGGGCTCTTTTCATATTTTTGACATGACCTATTTTTGAATAACCCTAAATAATATTTTTAAATAAATAATTTAAATTATTGTTATAAATAATAATAATAATAATAATAATAATAATATATATATATATATATATATATATATATATATATATATATATATATATATATATATATATATATATATAACTTTGATAGTTATTAAATTTTTTAAACATAACAGTTAATTACCCGTTATATTAGGTTTTCAAATATAACGTTAGATTTCGTATTTTATAACGGCTAATTACCGTTATGTTTAATAAACAATTACTAGAAAAAAACATAACGGCAAATACCGTTATGTTTTTTTCATACGAATTATATATTGAACGTAACGGTAATTACCTGTTATAAAACACGAATGTTAGCGTTATGTTTTTTCAAATATATAACTGGTACTTTTTTGCAAAGTTTGTATTTGTACAATAAACATTAGTTCTCAAGGGAGAAATATAGTTAGTACATATTAACAGACATTTAAAGACAGTTATATTGTTATTGCTCGGATACTATATTTTTTAATTTAAGCTTGCTATAAATTGTTATTAAAAATAACAATTTATAGCAAGCTTAAATTAAAAAATATTTAAAATCAAGTAAAAACAAAAAACTATCAAAAGAAAATTATATAAAATTTTTTTTTAGTTAAAAACTGTTAGCAGGGCCGTTACACAGCCCAACTAATAGCTTTTTAGCTCGCTAAACCTAGATCAACAATTGTTGTGTTGTTATTATAAACTTTCTCACTAACAACACTAAGCTTCTACAAACCAAAATTGGAACCGATGTTTTTATAGTCAAAAATCACACTTTGTTCAAAAACTTTACAAAAATCTGTATATAGATGATCTCTATATAAAGTTTCTTGTTCAGCTAGAGTGCGTTTAGGGCGGATATATTCTTTCTAAGTGCACTCTAGCAGAACAAGAAATTTCAACTCAACTCTAGAAAATCCAGCTAAAATAACAAACTTAACATCAAGCAAAAAAAGCAATGACAGTCTGAAACCTAATAATTGTTTTGACCAACGCTTAATGTTTGTGATTCGTGGCAACTCTGGCTCGATGCAACCTCATCTCCTGCAAATCATACCCAAAACGGCTAAACTAGTGTAGGCAAAAGACTTAAAAAAGACGTCTTTTGAACGTTCAAAAGACATTCAAAACGTTTAAAAGACGTGTAAAAGACGTCGTTTTTACATCCCGTACTCACTAGGTACTCGATTGACTTCATAACAAATCACCTGACCAGAAGCACTTTATAAAATCGGCGTTAAGCAGAGGATTTCACAATGTCAAAAAACTTGTTTATTAAAATTTCAAACACGAGCAAAACATCATAAATGTAAAGATAATTCTCAAATTCTTTATTACTTACTTAACAGCAACGTTGCTATTCTCTTTGAGCTCTCGAGGATAGCAACGGCGGGTTAATATTTGAATAAATTAAGTTGCT